AAAGATTCTGTTGCATACAGTGAGCCTTCGCCGTCATACATAAGATTGCTACATGCTAAGTCCGAAATAACTGTTTGTCCGTCAAGCGCTCCCGGCAACCAACGCTGCAGACGGTAATTTCGCTCATCACAAATGAGCATCGTTCCATCTTTATCTACGACAAGCCCTAGGGGATAGAGTTGATTACTTGCATTACCTGGGCCGTTGCCACCCGCAATCAAGATACCATTTGACGCACCCTTATTCCATTTGAGAACTCTGTAGTTCCAAAAGTCCGAAACATAGATCGTATCACTTTGATCTATATAGAAGTTCGTAGCATAGATTTGATTTAGATTAATACCCATTCCATTTCCGCCAACGACAGTAATTGCATTCCGTTCCCATGTTGCATTTGCGCAAATACCATTCACAGGTATTGAAGGTGAAAACGAGTCTGAAATTGAAATAAAATTTTTCGAAAGATCCTTTAGAATGTTTTGTTGAAAAACATTGATCGGTAGGGATCCCACAAGTACGGCACATCCAGTGCTACTAGTTTCCCTTCCTGCGGAACGATGTTATGTACATGGAATTCGGACGAGAAGATCCCTTTTCAGATCCAGCTGCGTGTTTGTCTCTGTCAATATGAACTACGATGTGCTTTTATTGTGGCGATGTCCAGTCATGAAATGAATTTCCAACTATAACATCTAGGAGATTTTTTTCTCTGTGCACATACGGGTTGTTGCTCTATGTGTGCAGCGCAAGTGTGCAACATGATTAGTGATAACTGTCGAAGTAAATAGTCAGAAGTTTGAAGCTCTCCATCACAGACTCTCTTCTATTGTAAGTACAACTCTCATAGTACTGATGCGTGACGCGATAAGACTTTTGGACCGATACTATGTAAGAATCAATCTGAGCAGTACGCGATACTCTGTGATTTACTTTTCCCGTTGTAGCACCTATACTATAAACTTTTGGCTTAGTTTCATCACTTTTAACGAACAGTTTCCATCCGGATCAGAAGTTCACTTCAATCATTCCAGTCGTTCATTTTCAGTGTATCGCATACAGTTTCAAAACTGAGCGAAGCTAGTTAATTGTATTACAGTCAAAGAAGACCCATATTACGTTTTAACCGTGAGTTGATATCTAAGGACAAAACAACTTTCCTCTAGAATGTGCTTACTCATGTATTTTCTATTCTTAATTTAGCCTTGTTTTCTCTCAATCAATGTAAAATAGCTTTCCTAGTTAATGAGGATATTATAGTTAACCAAAAGTTTGTCGCTCGGTGTTACTTAGCTTAGAGTAAGTTTTATAGAAAAACTTTCTTTCTCTGTAGTCTGATAGAGAAAAGAATACTCTATTTTACTATGCTATTTGATCATACTTCATTTACTGTAATAATAATAAACCTTCAGTAAGATCTGTTTTTGTCAGGATATGTGCTGATTGTATCAGGTCATAATGAATGAGGAGATTAGATGACCGTACTTTGCATTTCAACTATCAATTCCTTGATATGCCGTATTAAAGAAAAACAAAATAAATCATCAGAGGCAACATGAAAAGTTCTAAAATTTACACAAGACCGACTATTTTATAGTTGGAGCTAAATTTTTAAACAGTTGTGATTTACCATTATGTAAATAGAGCATTTTTTTTCTCTATCAGACTATGTAGAAAGAAAGTTTCTTGGAGCTTACCTTACGACTAAGTAACACCGGGCTACGAACTTTTGATTAACCCTAAGTATATTAAAGTTATTTATAAAGAAATGTTGTTAACCTTTTGTTGATGATAATATTGGCTTTTTTGTTGTTGGAATTGTAAATGTAGTAGTTGATGTCAAATTCTGATTTGTTCTAGAATTCATGGATCTTTGTTTGAATATGACTATTAGTTTAGCCGCAATCGATATTAAAATAAGGATTGATACTGTACATACAGCAAGTATTAAGATTAATTTTTTAAGTGGATTTGTTTTTCGAGGATTATTTGTAATTATAAAAAGATCATCATCATCACCATTATTAACAATAAGTGGATGATGAGAATTCGGTATTATATCAAAATTTGACATATTCTAAACATATTACAAAAATCAATACATGTTGGTCTCTTAACTAGCAAAACTAAGATGAAAATTGAAGATCTTTTTCATTCTGAGCAAGAAAAAAAAATCAACGAAATCTCTTGGCTTAATATTCGAATAGAGAATATCTCACTTGATTAAAACATAGACATCAGCGAAAGGAATACACACTAGAATAGGTGCACAATGTGCGACATGAAGAGCTCGTCGAACACATTTGGGAAACGTGGTTCGAATCTATTTTTCGGTAAGTCGATTATTTTTTTTGAAAATTCGAAAAATTCGTACTTTTTCACTTAACTTCGAATTAGTACGTAATATTTATGTTCTTGGAGATTCAGACGGTAAGATCTAAAGATCTAGCCATCTTCAGTCATTTCATCTCGATCATCGACTGTGTTCTCAATTAATAAATCATCGAGAAATAATCTAGAAAAAAAAGACATACGAAAATGTATAAGCTTCGTATGCTCAACAATGTTGGTTATATATCCTCGTGACTAAAATAAACTGGACACCATGTTTTTCCAATTATGCCTCTTCAGTGTGGAGACATATCCCGATCGGGATATACTCCCAATCGGGATATATATCCCGATTGGGATATCATTTTTTGCAGCAAAATTTTTTTTATATCCCGAACGGGATATAGTTTGAAATTATATCCC